GGGCCTGACGTGCCCCTGTCACCTCACTCACCCCAGCCCAGTCCAGGGGACGAAGCACTAGGTCACTAAGGGACACATCCCCTGTTCTCCACCTATAGACCTGACCCTGTAAAGCCTGTGACTTTGGTGACAGAGCCTCCCGCTCCCAGCCAGTATGCTCAGTCTGTGTACCCCTGCTTCTGTCCAAAGCCCCTCAGAAAATCGCTTCAGGCCCCTGACTGGGTCCTCCCTCCCTGGCCCCAGAAGCCAAGGCACCCCCATCACGTGGGTCTCACCCGACTTCACTTGCCAAGGTCAAGGCTGCCCTCTCTGAGCTAGAAGAGCCATGAACACCCTCCCCAACAGGCTGGGAGCATATCTCACCTGGCCCAGTGGCTCTATGCAAATCACTCCCACGCGGTGGCCCTATTGGAAAAGGGCCACCCTGACCACCTTGTTATGGCCGGGGGTGGGGGGAGGGTAGCAGAGGCCAGGGAACAAGAAGGTGCACTGAGGAAGGGGATCAGCCTGGTGGGGTGAGGGGAGACAGAGGGGGAGAGGCCGTGGGGGAAGAGGAAGCCGAGGGTGGAGGGAATGGAGGGAGGTGTCTCGGGAGGACAGGGAGGAGATGACTTGGATTAGTAAAACCCAACTGTTCCCTCAGACAAATCAAAGTCCAGACACAAAAATGGCAGGTTCGTTAGTAAAAGCAGGAAACAGGGGAATCATTCCCCCGTCCCCCTCCACCCGGGGGGTTCTCGATGCCCCTGCCCCCCAACCCCCCCACGCAGCTTCTGAAAGGGGTGGGGCCAGCAGGGAGGAAAGGGGGGGCTGTGCGACACAGAAGAGCCCTGCAGCCGGGACCCATGCAGGTTAGAGGAGCAGGTGAGGGCCAGGCCCAGCAGGACAGGCCAGAGCAGGGCAGCCGCAGGTGAGCAGGCATGCAGGGCAGGGGAGCTCGGGGCGCAGCGATGGAGGCGACAGAGCTGTCGGGGTGCGGGAAGGAGAAGCTTCCTTCCACGGAGGGAGAGAGAGGAGCAACCGCTAGGACAGAGACACTTGAGGGTTAAGAAAGAAAGAGAGGGACGTCCTCCTCAGCCTCCTCACCAGCTGGCCACCCACTCTCACCACTGCCCATTCGCCACCGATCGCCAGTCCCAGACACACCTGCACACACACCACATCCACTGGAGGCCACAGGGAAGCCTCGGCTGTCCAGAGAGCACCATCGGGACCACAGCTAGGACCCCAAGACACCACAGGCTCCACACCCGACCCACACCAGCCCGGGAGGTTCTGAGAGGCTAAGGGGATGAGCCAGCGCATGGGTCCTGGAAGAGGGCAGGGTCCCCGAAGCACAGGAGCCCCCAGCCCAGGCCCTCTGCACGCCAGGACCTTGGCACACCCCACTTAATTACACTGGGTAGGAAGGAAAATCAGGTCCTGGTCAGGATACCCCGTGTCCACTGTGCCCCGGGAAGAAAGCCTGAGGAGGAAGGGAACCTCTGCCGTTATCCAGAGCCTTCCCAGTTGCCCACCAGGGTCTCAGGGACACTGACCTCCCTACTCTGGGGAGAACGAGACAAGGACAGGTGTTTTAAGTGGCGGACAACCGAATGGGCTTCTCCACCTCCCCTTGGCAGCAAATGTGAAGTCGCATGGATGGGCTTCATCACCTCCTGTGAGACCCACAGTGGCCACCAAATTCTCAGAGGGGCCCGTGAGCCTAAGTTAAGAAAAACTGGTCCCCAGAAAAGTTCCTGGAATCCCTCTTAGGATGGAGGTGGGCGGGAGTGGGGGCTGGAGACAGGGGACTAGGAGCTGAGTGTCCCAGCCCTGCTAAGCATTTAGTTTGGCCACCTGTTTGGGGGTGACGGGAGTGGCTAAGGACAGAAGCCACCGGAAAGACACACACAGACATAAACAGCCCCAAGTGAACCTGAGGTCTGGATTCCAGAGAGCCTGGGAGCAGAGGGGGAAGAGTTCAGGTCAGAAACCCTGAGCACTCGGTTAGCCGGTGCCATTTTCCAGAACCATCTCATTTTACGTCTCTGACTCCCCTGTCTCCCAGGCTTGCTCTGCGCACCCACTGAGAGCTAGGTGAAAGGGTCAACTGCGTGGGCCCCAGTGAGGTGCTTTCTCTGGGCCCCAGATTCCTCATCTCTGTTGGGTGGGAACGATCCCTACCTCCCGCCTAGAATCCAGACGTTCATCAAGTCTAAACGATATGCAAAATGTGAAAGTCATTCAAAGACCCTAGTGTGCAAAGAACCATTAGTATTATTACAAGCAGAGTCCACTGGCCTGACCATACTCAGCCCACACCTTTCTATCAGGTGGTCCTTTTCTGCCTCCCTACTCTGTTCTCAAGGAGAAGGGCCCAAATAACGAGAGTCCCTGTGAAAGGGTTAGTAAAAATAGATACAAAACTCTTCAAAAGCCCCTTCTGGGGGAATCAGAGCCCGCTGTTCCCTGTCTCTGTGGGTGCTCTGCGCTCTGCCTCCAGCCTGGGTCCTTCGAGCCAGCTTGGGAGGCCACCAGAGGCAATGGGCTCTGTTCTTCACTCAGTGCTGTTCAGGCAGGGAAGTGTGGATTTTGGAGACTCAGAATTTAGCAGGGGTTTTCCTTGTCTGGACAGATGCCAAGCAGGGTTGCTGACTTCTTAACCAACCTAACCAAGTCATCCATCTGCCCTCCTCCTCCCAGCCCAGTTCCTGACGCCTTCGGAGGTTTCTTGCTGTTATTCTGGGAATGTTTCCTAAGGAGGGCAGGAGGGTAATAGGAACTCCGGCGGGGCAGAGATGTTGTGTTCTCTGGGGGCTGCTATAGAGAGGGAATCACTTCTTCCCACAGCATCCCTGACCTGGAGACACTGAGACGGTCAGCTAACACTTTACAAAGCTCAATCCAATTTTTATAACTCCCTTCGTGGAGCACAGTATGTTTTACGGGCACTGCCCCCACTTGATCTTCACACTGACCCCATGAAATGAGCAATGCACATCTGTGGTCATCCCATTTGACAGATGAGGAAATTGAGCTTTTGTAGCTTCAGCCTGTGTGGTCAATTTTCACCAAATTGAGACTAGACAAAGGATCGCTGAGTCCCATTCTAGGATGGTATT